ACAAAGGGCTGGTGCGGTCCCGGGCGGGCGCGGGAAGGGGCTGGGCCGGGCCGGGGCCTCCCTCGCCCTTTGTTCCGCGCTGCCCCCGCTGTAACCCGAGCCGGGCTCCCGGCAGGGCTGCGGCCGGCGGGTAGGGCAGGGCGCCGAGGAAAGCGGGTTTGTTTTGAGAAAATACTCCTCTGTCAGGGGAGGGGCTGGGGCCGGGCTGCAGCGCCCGGGACGGGCCGGCTGGATCCCAAGTCGTGGCCCCCGGGGCGGGCAGGCGGGCGGGAAGGAGAGAGAGAGGGGCAGCAGTGCCGGGAGCCCGCTCCGCTTTGCAGCCAACTTGGGGCTCCCCGGGCTTTTGTGTGGTGGAGAAGCCGAGTGGGGCGGTCTGCCCTCCGCTTCGGCAACAAACCCTCCAGACGGTGTGTGGAGCCGGAGGGGAGGCTGCAGTGGACCGGCGGCGCGGCTGTAACTGAAGTTGTGCGTTTGGAAGTAGTTCACAATAGTTCGGGGTGGGAACAGCAGGACGGTGGTGACAGCACAGGCGGCCGCAACAAAACTTTTTTGTTAGTAACATCATTAAACTGCCTGTTGTGAACAGCACATGAAGAATATGACCTCACTCCTCATTATTTTAAGCTTCCTCTGCCCTTGAGCAGGGTTTTTGCTTGATCAAGGTTCTGTAAAACAAACTTTGGTAAGAGAAACCAGGCTTAATTGGCTCCCTGATGGTCTAGTTGGGAGGGGGGGAAAATGGTGTGTGTATTGGCATGTGACTAGAAAAATCTGTATGGCAGTTGAGCTGCAGTGAAGTAGGTTCAAAACCAGGCTGCATTGAACTGTGCTGCAGACTTGTACAAACGCACTAGTTCAGGGAAGTGTGTGTTTCTACTGAGCAAAATTATTGTAGTAGTAAAGGATGGTGAGGTGGGCTTAATGTGTCTGAAACTTAGTCTGTCTAATTATAGAGCCTTAAAACACCTCCCCCCTTTGCTATGCCTCTGAATTGCTTGGATTTTGTTGCTGATTTGACATGAAAGGTCTTCGGTAATGTAGCTTGCAATCCCCCCCCCCCTCCAGTGTTCTCAGACTTGTATTTAAAACAACAAAGTTAATTCTCTATCAGCAAGCTGTTAAACATAGGGAGTTACTAGTTATGATTGATATAGCGAGGTTTTTCGCCCTGCTCTTTGTTTCTGGGGGTATGTTGGCTAGACTGTCACTTTCTGAACCCTTTAAAAATGTAATCTCTTGGGCACAAACACCCTTCTTCAGGCATAGGGGGAGACTCCCCCTATGCCTGAAGAAGGGTGCTTATGTCTGAAAACTTGCAAAGAACAATTTTTTTCAACTATTCAGTTGGTCTAATAAAAATTCTCGCATCTACTTGAAGAACCTTGTCTGCAGATGTCCTGAGACCAACAAGGTGACAACCCTTAAAAATTAATTTAATTTATAGCATTAATATAGTCTGGCTTTCATAGCTGATGGAAATAATTACTTGGATAACTGTCAGCATAATATACCAAACTTGCTTAATACAGTATAGTGTGAGCAGATGTCAAGTTCATTATCATTTTGATGAATGCAGGCTCCATGATGAGATACTCTTTTCTCCAGTTCTTTTTATGTTAAGTTTTTTTTTAAGGTAAACACAAAAAAAAAAACAACCAACCAAAACCCCCCCCCCCCCCCCCAAGTACTCTAGGTTGTATGCCACAGAGGCTCAGAGCTAAAACCCTAAAGTTTGGGGCTGCTATGAATAAGATGGGGCTAATGACATCAACTAGATGGAGCATTATTGCAGCAGTGTGGTCTGTAGTACAAAACCAAATCACCATGATTTGTAGTACAGTAGTCTGTTGTTCGTTCTGTAGCACTGAATCAAATCCTTAAGCAGTTCCCTGATAAAGCTAATGTTGGAGCAGGTTGGTGTAGACTTTAATTGGCATCACAGAATTCTCAAACCTGCTTCTGCTGAATGAGGATTACTTTTTTATTAAATGAAAAGTGGCATTTAAATTTACTCAATCTTGCTTGAATTATTTAATACAAAATGCATTTGTTTTAGGCACGTGGTACACCTTGACAGAATCAAAATTGAGCTAGGTATATCCAGGCTGGAACTGGGGGGGATTATAAAGCTCCATGTTATAGGGCATGTATGACCTAGTTAGAAATATTCCAAGCCATATGTAGTCCTTACAGTATAGAGCTCTGTAGGGTAATGCCAGCTCTGTTCTGGCAACAATATAGGTGCCCCCCAGTGGTCAAGTATCTCAACATCCAGCAGCTATTGAGGAAGTACTGTAGCTTAGTCAGTCTTTTTGCTTTAATTCAGGGAGTGCTAGTAAAATAAGCTTGGTCTTGGTGTCAAGCCTCACTGTTAATTCTGTTTAATAAGCATCTAACTCATGTAGATAACTCTTCATTGTAGATTTTACAGTGATAGAATGGAATTGCAGGCCGGTTACTGCCTTAACTTCACAGTTTCTCAGAATTCCTATGGGCATTTTCCTTGTAATAACATTGATTCTAATAGCTATCCAGTTGTTAAGCCACAAAGACTAATGGTTAACAGCTTTGTGGAAGGCTGACTAAAATAGTCCATTTTTGTGTCCAGCTCTAATTTTATTTTTTCCATCCCCCTCCCCCCCC